CAAACGGTTACAAACCCGCGTTAACGAACACATACGGGCAGTGAGGAGAATGGACCCCTTGTCTCTGGTGGCAGAACACTGCGCGGACTCTGTACACACTTTCGCCTTCCATAACGCCTAAATTCTGGGTCGAGGCAATGACCGCGTAGCCAGGGAAACGATGGAGTCCTGGCACACGGAGACAACCTCAATAAACCGTTGTGTCGCCCTTCCGACAGCCTACCAAGCCCTCCGGACGCAGCTCAACGAACTAAAGAGCAAGCGCGAAGTCAGGCCGGACGTGAATCCAAACATGGAGAGCCTACGATGGACCTACACGTAGCCACAGTGCAAATCGGGCCCGACGAATGCGCAGTCATCAATACCGTTGCCTCAACTACTAATCCGGCAGACGGGGAGAAACGCGGTCAGGGGGATGCAATCAAGACTAGCAACCCAGCACGATAATTAGGGTCCACGCGAATGCAGGCGATGGCCACCAACGTTCAAATGCCGCCCCCCGACGAGAGACAGGCGGATTGACAGCAGTCACCCTCCCTCCCGCTCCGCCCCGGCGACTACAGAGACGATCCCTGTGCGTATGCGGGCCATTAGCGCTAAAGTCGATTAACCAATCCCCCCGTATAATAACCACCGTGTTAGCATAACTGATATCTACCCCCCTCCTATAAATACTGCGTGATGCCGTACGATACTCATCTCCGACGATGAAAGCTTGTCTGCTTTTGAAACGTCAGGACAATACAATCATGGTTCCCGAGATGGCCTCTTCCTCCTATTTAATTATTTACATTTGCAGGACGGTGAGAATACTGGAGATGCAACTCGGGCGATTTTTACAAACTTAGTATTGAGATCTGCCTTGGGCTTCTACGGCGCCGAGTCAGATTAATGAAAGTTTGTCTTAAAGTGCTGGAAATTGTGGCCCTAGTCCGCGCCGTTTATAGGCATTTCTGATCAAGATTTCCTCGATGGCTCGCTCTGTGGGAGACGAAGATAATCTGACTTTTCTTGCGATTCTTTCAACTAATCAGCTTCATTGAATCGTCCGAACAGATTATATCAAAGTTATACCGACTTTGAACTTATGAGATCCCTCAGGAATGTTCTTGGTCGAAGATAGGAAACAGCACCACTGTCAAATTCACAGTTAATCAAATTCGACTAGTCATAATATTTGGATGATTACTAAGTGGATACCACTGGAATAAAGACTGTCAGGTATCAATATGCAGATAATACTAGTTGGAGAGTCGCTAAGTGGTTAGATTCACTTTCCGCCAAAAGGTCGCCCCGGTGTCCGTTCTCCTACTCCGCGACATCACTGTTTCTTCTAGCCTACAAATAACTGACCTTCAAAAGGAACTGGATTTTTATAGTAAGACACTTGCGAAGTTATAGCCCACAATGCTTACCATATAGCTGTTTGGTCAAGCATAAGCTAGCGTTATCGAACAATTATTTTGTGCCTCATAATCTGGAAAATTCATTCGAATTTTTCCCAACTAATTACCTCCTTTAAGTCATTAAAAACTGCAATCACTGACTGCCACTTTTGTCCACAGACCGACTTAAGGAATTTTATAAGCAAATACAAATAAGAGGACAAATCATCCGGCTAGATCGCAGTTGGTAGACAGGCCCTGTATTACAGGTGGTTGGGGGTTTGCTTACTGGGGCTTTTTGTGGGGCTACATAATCCCATCTGACCCATTTGGCTTCCGTTTTACGTTTGAGGTTACGATTAGGGTACCGGTTAATGGTGTCAGATTTTCGGCTTAGGGTTATGCCCTTTAGGCTTAGGTTTTCGGGTTCCGGTTAGGGTTTGAGTTTACGATTAGGTTTCAGTATTACGGTTAGTTTTTACAGTTAGGGCTATGTCTAAGGGCTACGGTTACGTTTACGATTTCGGTTGGGGTTAGGATTAAGGTTGCCGTTAGGGCTAACGGTTAAACGTTTAAGGTTAGGGTTAAGGTCGCCGTCCGTTTCCCCATTCCTGGCTACCAACTGCGATCTAGCCAATCATCCTTTCAATTAGTTGTAGGATAATGAAGGGATGCAGGTATCCAGAGACAAATTGACTCATTATTATATTAGACTGCTTATATGGAGTCATTTAGCATTCCACATGGTTATCTTAACGGAGAGGTGTGGTGTCTAACTTTGTCCCTCGTACCTGTCTGTGCGAATTTCGGGGTATAAAAGTTGCGTTACGAAAAAGGCATTAATTATTTTAACAAAATTATTGAGAGAAAACCACATTCATCCATCTTGTGAAAATAAGTTGTAATCACGGCTGGAAGTGGCAATGGGACCCGCATCTCCGTGAGCAACCAGTAGAGGACATCGACTAAGTAATGCTTTCTGGATCAAGGACAGATACTGAGTCGTTTTTCTTCCACACTGACGAAAACCAGTCACACTTGAGGAAACAGGTAATTAGGGTGACTGCTAAGGCGTAAGTAATAGAAGCCATTTGTCACGTAGGACTCTAACTGATGTCTGACGTTCCCGATAAACGCACACTTAGTATCAAAATTAGTAAACGTCGTTCCTTCTTCTGAAGCAAAATATCGCATAGCGAGTTCAAAGCCAGAAATTCTAGGACTCGAGAGACAGCCAGAATGCATATGATTCAGCCTAGACTTCCGGATTTAAGTTGTTTCTGGGCATCACCCTTTACCTAGGAGCTAAAGAAAATTTTATCCAAAGACGCGATTCCGTCCTTTTTCTGGGTAACACTTGAGTCTTCTTTTTCAAAATGAGCTTTGAATGAGACAGTGCCCGTTTTTTTAGGTAAGAAAGTTGCGGGACCCTTGGGAAATTCGCCTAAAAAGATACGAAGACCCCGAACTGCTTTCACGAGCCAGCAGGTAATTACGCTGGAGGAATGCTTCAGAAAAAATCAGTATCTTTCGCGCACAAGACGCTTTACGGTTGCCCATGAACTAGGTCTCTCTGAAACGCAGGTAAGTTATATACGTATGATGACTGGGCAACCCCAGAGGAACGGTCGGTGTTAATAACTTTTAATAACGTTACAAAGCACCTTTTGAGAAAATGGAAATATTTTCTGGGGGGCAGTCTCATTACCGAAAGCCGGGAATGATGAAATTCCTTAGCCAAACGTCGACAAAACAAAAGGTCTTGTCGGTACAAATAGACTTAAGTCGAAGTTCTCGGAAAACGTTCCACTTCCATACAATGTAAGGGCATTCTATTATATAAATTCTTCATATGTTTTAAGGCGCCTTTGACTCATCCCGCCCGGGGGTAGTTATTTAGAGATTTGTGTAATAACGAATAGGATTTAAAAAGTGCAGAAATAGGGAATTCGAAATATTTAATTAGCGAGGATGCGGCACACATGAACAATATCGACATATAAGTTGCGGGTTCTATGAGTATGTGTTATTGTTCTTTTGCACCAAATTTCAGCCTTCCAAGTAAGGTTGCTATTCAGTTATTACATTTAATGGTGCGGGCATAGACTAGATATGATGGGCCGGGACTGAAACAAACCCTATGGGAAATTACATGTTTTCGTCAACATATATGGATTAACTCAAATGTACATCCTTTGCTATGTAAGCAGGGATAGCCACCTTATAATGGTATCTGATATAGTCCAAAAAAGGGATGTTCACTTAGTTCAATCTTTCCACGGAAGTTGGCAAGACATTACCGTTTTCAGTTATTTTTGAACGAGTTAACTTCGTACACCCCCTTTCATCCTTTGCGCACCAAGTGGCAATTACACATGCACTAAAATAACTCCTCACGAGATAGATACAGACGTTACAGATGAGCCTTTGCTAGCATAAAGTGATACCAGTTACGGAATATGCAAGTTTTGCTAAAGGCCAAGCAGTATATAGCAGAGCTCAAAACCCGAGAACCGGGGCGTTTCGAGCGCTGTTGAGCAGAATTACACAAAGATGAAGTATTATTTCCATATTTGAGAATCTGAAAGACTCTTTGTCTTATGGTTCGTAGGTGAAGATTTGGTTTCAGAACAGAAGAATGAAGTGGAAAAGACTCAACAGACCACACAGATCAAACGTCCTCAACTGCGGTGCAACTAAAACTCTCAGCCATGAAAATCTTCGTTCGCCATCACAACTCTGGCCAGAAGAGAACTCTGTCTCGGCTCAGAGATCAGTTCTTCGGATTCCGGTCAACGATTTTCTCCACTCGATTAACCTCCAGCAATCTGTGCTAAGCCAATCAGGTTTATAACGTTCAATTTCTTCACCTCCCATTTCTGTAACGGTTTGAACTTGTACTCTGTATTTCTTGAATACTAATTTAAGTTTAATTCTACACAGAACCCTCTAGCAAACGTTTCAAAAGTTATTTAGTAGCGGTAATGGGCAGGCAAATGCTTGCCATCTGAATCGACTACCGGCGTTTTCGTTCTTAAGGCGCAATCACTGTTAGCGGTTGAGTTTTCGTGTGCGTTGTGGCTTGTTATGGAACATTTAACTGTTTTTCACTAGAAGACATACATATGAAGCAGGACGAACCTCATGGTCGTCAAACTTTCCTTCTCAATTGTGCATTTGATTGTAAGGAACTCTGGGAAGAGCACTGAAACGAGCGCTGATGAAGATATGTCGTACAATGCGTCGTCCAAGCAGTACCGTCATTTATTGGAGAGGGCATATCCGTGCCGCGTCTATACCTGCTGCTTCCAAGAATGCAACGATTTGCGGTCTCTTCGTTCGATATAATAGTTATTTTTAAAAATTTTGGTTGGTTTCATAATTTATTCTTCAGAATGGCTGGTCTTCGACTGGTTAACCTTGCTCAATCTCAAGGAGTCTGGAACCCAAATCACTGTGACTGTTAGAGAGAAGAGTAGGCCGGTGGATGGGGACACTTTAATTTCATGTGCGCAAATGCGACCACCATATGCAGCTCTGTCTTCAAAGCAACCAAATGGATGTATGTATGCGACAAACACATCACGGAGAAAAGTAATGTGGGTGGTCCTCGGATTACCAGAAGGTATAACGCCACTTCTTTCGCTGCAACTGCCGTTCTGCCTCCAGATCACTGTCCTCTTTGTCCAAAGCAGCAATATGGAAGAGGTAACAAGCGAAGACTTGTATGCCCTTGACATAGTTCTTGATTGAGAGCCTTTCGTTCACTTCATGCTGAAAGTCCAGGCACTGACCCATAGGGATCAGGACTACATCGCGGTTAGTGGTTTCCTGTGAAAGTGAAATAACGAGATTGCCTTTCGTAAAACCAAACAAGGATTCAGTGGATGATCAAACCAAACTATCAGCTGAAGGCAGATTTCTCGACTGAACGAGGACTTTGTAACCCATCCGTTATAGAAAATTCTGATTACAAATATGTCACTAATGGCGAATTTCTGCACCTTGCTGATTCACTGTTGACATGTGTAGTTACCGTAGGAAGGGCTGCATCGATACGAGGAGGGAAAAGAGCACTGATCATATCCGACTTAATTGACACTGTCCTTCGGAAACTGCATATTTAACAAATCTGGAAGACCCTCGGATTCCAGCCCTAGTTTACTGAGTTGGATCGGAAGAAGTGTAGCGCTTTGACTACCGCACTAGGAGTCACTGTTCCATCTACTGAACCCGGAATAAATTCGCATAAGTAGTAATCGCTAACCGTTTCGGCCTGCTTTGAGAGTAAAACACACCTCTAGGCTTATCGAGAACGACCGCCACACGAAAATGTTGCTCTGTCATCAAAGTTCCCCGATTATTCATTTCTCATGTCCAATGAAAGCCCAATCTTGCACGCGGAGCAGACCGAAATTAGATGGCTTCGTCCTGAAATTAAGTTAAATCGGCGAGAACAAGTTATCGGAATATCCACAATGAATCCACAAAAGTCCTTATTTGAGAGAGGCAAAGTACTAATCAAGTACGTTTGAACATTGTACTTGATACCGCTGCAATCATGCTTGATTCAGTTGGCCTGAAAGAGGTGATGCACGATCCATCTCCCCTCAACTTGAGAAGACCTGGGGCAGCGGATCTTTTCAGCTCAGTCGATTTACATCACAGCAGAGACTAAAAACGGGGCCCCAAAGTCGGACACGGAAAAACGGACTCCTGGTGCTACAAGTGGCTTCGCGCTAAATTCCAGGGGTATGTATCTTTCTGTCGTAATGTTAACCCCAACACTGACAACAAACATAACTCCCCTAGCGTTAACCCTAACCTTAACACCTCTGCCCGACAGGCCCCAATAAGGATCTTGATATTTTTGGGCGCCGTGTAGAGCGGGGATTTTAGTTGTCTGTCTCTACGTTCTCCAAAATGGGCTGGGAAAGAGGTTGGTATAGAGAAGCAGCAATGAGCTCGTGGGAGGGTACGGGGGCATTGCCCCTACTACTTCAACCGTCTTTCATAAGAGTTTTGGGATATACTTGATATGTTATGCAAACGAGCATGTTGAGCTTACTTTTGACCAGTTATTTTCGCACCACCTCTCTAAGCATGGATCTCCCGCGCCCTTCCTGTTTGTACACGTCTTATTTTCTATGCACAGTAAAATGAAACTGGAAATCGGTTCAGCAATCAGTTAGTTCAAGACAAAACGTTGGTCCCTCCTCTAAGCGTACGCAAGAAAACAAAGGGAACGACTACCGCTTTACCAAGCATGCAATGTTTGCAACGCTGAATACAGTAAAAATCCCTTCTTGTATTCGTAGTACGCTCACGGTTGGCATACAGTGGAACTGCTGATAAAAAGCTCATCCTAATTAAGAAAAAAGACGAAAACAGAAGAGACCCCGTACGGCCAGAAAACGTCTACTGTTAAATAGAGTCGCACAGCTGACCGGTCGAAGCCGTGTCGGGTGCTCTACGCCTGGGTCGGTTGCTGCACGAGTTAAATGATTTTTCTTTGCTCTGGAAACGGAGAGGGAGAGCCTGCTTTAATCTGCCCGGCGCTTTACTGGGAGGGCAAAGGTTGTGTGTAGATAATTGGTGTATGTATTTAGCAACACTCCAGAAAATTCACATTCTGCATTTCCTACTAATCATAGAATATTTCAGTTGAACATACTACGGGAAATTTGGGGAACTCTTGCTGCTGAGACTGCATGATCACTCTTCAGGAGAGTTTCGTTTTTGCGGTTGCTGTCGTCTGGTAGGAAACTATTGCTAGTGGTAACTGTGGTCTAGATGGACTTCAACCAGTTAGAACAAGTCCAATAATGAGAAAGTGTTATAGGAAGAACCTATATGATTGGTAGATGACAGTAGGGTAAGTGTCTCGTGTGTACAATCATGTTCTTATATGATTCAGGTAGACATACAAGACTACGAGTTGGAATACGATCAGCCTGTCTTCAGATTTACAATTTGGGTTACCAACTACGCACTTCGGCGTTGAGTTTGCTTTCGAATCGCGCTCCCACAATAACATATGCCAGGAGGGGGTGGGGAATGGACGGCCGCTTTCATAGCCGTCGATTACGTCTGGTCTTTGCTTGGCTTTCAGGAGGCCTTGCCTTTCCAGTAAAACGCGGTCGGTACAATATCGGGGCGTTTTGTTAGTTCATCGTTTGCTAAGAAACACCGTTTTTTTGAATTGCGCACAACTTTTATAAACTGCAGTGAAGTATTTAAACGAACACCCGCTTATCTATTGCTTTTCGATATTTTTCCTTGACATTTCACTTCTTGTTGCTACTTTTGACCACCCACGATGCCCCTTATTACCACCAATGCCGTATTAAAGGGGGCCTTGTGTGTTGGTTTGCCAAGTGGCCCCACATATTAGATCTCTACCGATAGCGACTTGTGGTGACCTAGGCTTCGCAGCTATTATATAAAACGCCTTATCCGTTCACACCGAGGTCAGAGCCAAAGACGTCGTGTGGGAGGGGGAGGCAGTTGTGCCGATAAGCTTTGTTGACTGAGTGAGTGGGTGGAGTAGATCGGATTAGAAGTGACTTTTGTTCACAGGTAATGATCTATCATATAATAATGCGCCATCGTGTGCACTCACGGGCGAGCTTCGTGGCGGTACTGAGGGAAATGTTTTAGGAACCTAATACTGTGAATGCAGCACGTAGATGACAAGCAGGGTATGGATCTCCTAGTGAACGAAAACTTCTGTCGTTTTCGACGAACGCATTTTGGGATTACTTATGCTAGTTAGCTTAAATTACATTCGTTAGCGAGAAGGGTGAACATTTCATTAGTATTATTTGCACTCAGAAAAAGATCAGTCAAACGACATTAAATTAGCTTAGTCACATCACGGGAATTTCCTGTTTTTCTCATTACCTGCGGGTGCGGGATGTTCGAGGCCGACGAAGAAGTTTGCAGCGTGCAATATCTGATTTAGCTTCTCTAGGAACGCTTACCATATCTAACTTAGATTGGTGCTTGTGAATGGAGTACCTTATGAAAAATGAGAGAAGTCATAATTTTCACAAACGCCGAAGTGTCTAGCACAAGCCGCAGACATTATTCTAAATGTAATCAATTTCGTACGGTGCTGGTTTTGGTCATTTAGCGGTTACTTAAATAGAGTGAATGGGAATTTTTCGCAGTTACATTTTGAGGGTGAATACAGCATTGCACCAGAGCCTCCTGTGGATAGTGCAGTTTTAGACTGTATATGAATGGCTTCCAGCGTAGACTGTGATACGGAAACCTTGAGCAAATCTCTCGTGGTGACGAACTAGAGTCCCGAACTCGGGTGAAGGTCTTTAGAAACGTCAATTCTCAAATAATTCGGAACTTGACCTGCCGTCGCACTTTTATTCAGGGTTTTCAAACTACATGCTGCCCATTTTCCATGTAGGGAAAATCACACATCTATATATGCTACTAAGAAGTTGCCATATAGGGCTCATAAAATTCTGTAGTGCATGAGGATCATTTTGTATACTTTATGACAGTTCGGCCGTCATCATCGAAGATGTCCATCGTGTGCTCCATGGCAAGGTGAAGCAGGCACGGTGACTAGCGAGTAAATCATAATGAATGTATATTTACGCAACATCTACCACATTCTCTCCTGCTACCCCACCTGGACCCGGTGTCAAGACATAATCAAGAAGACCGGAGGAGGACGAAGGCGCAGGTGGATGGCACGGTCGAGCCCGCACCTTGGCGCTCAACTCCACACACCCTGGTCAACACAGCAAATGACCAGGACTTTAACCAACAGCTAAAGTGGGGGGGGGGCGGCAGGGATCCCAGTATGCGCGACGTCTGTCAGCAACCGGGTCTGCCACCGCAGCCCGAAGTGTTGGCATTTGTCATGGTGCGAAAATCCGATAACGCCTGCCAGAATCCGAGATGACTCCTGTGTTGGTACAGCGCATCTATCGTGTGGCCCGTTTTGGGGGGCACTGTATACGTTACAATAAAAATTTCACGGTCATAATCAATCTCATAGTTAGAAACTTTTATAAGGTGCTCTTTCATCTAACAGAAAATTTGAAGAGGGTGCGATTTGATACCAAATTAACCCAAGAAAGAATATTTGCGCGCATTTTTACCACAACATATATTTGAATTTATAAGGTCATCGAAAATCAATGGTAAAAAATTCCTACTGCTTTAGCAGTTATTTCTTACAAGAAGTAATCTTTGCAAGCGGCTGAAAAGAAGCTCATTAAAAGCTGGCATCCTTATGTAACTGATATATCTTCTGATTATACTGCGCGATAGTCTTACGATCCTACTTAAGTAATATTTCGCAATCTAAGCTACATTTCAGCATTTCGGTTAACATTTCATTAAATAGTACATCTACGGCATGAATCGAGAGGTTTTAAATTAGAAGACGAAGAAAATTCTGTCAAAGGAAGAATTAACGCGGATCCATTCTCTGTCTTCCATAAAACGCGAATTCACTGGGATTTGAATAGTTGTCCGTGCTCGAGAAAAAAGGAGAATTTTATGAAAGCCTCCGCAAAAAAGGGCGAGGTTTGGTTCTGCAGCACTACGTAATTGATACCATATGGTTAGCTTCCTTAAATAATCTTAGAAGATGTGAGTACTCAGACTTTACAAATATCACTTGTTTGCCTCTTCCTTACCACTTTAATACAGCGAGCGACTGTGCCACGGGGAGGAGTGCTTATACGTCAGCCTCGGTTACTTGAGGTAGCAGTTCATACGTGCTTCTCCGCGCGTGCTTCGAGTCCTGCTTGCATCCTCTTTACTATAATAATCCAGAGAATGGCTAATTAGGCCTCCGAATGAAATTGCTCGGTTCCACCACAATGGCCATGCAATGCGAATTACCACGCGGTCCCCTCCGTGGACTTCCAGTTGTGATTGCACCCTCCTTATCCTACTAACCCAGCGAGTGGCTGTGTCGCGGGGAGAATGTGTATACGCCACTTTCACGCGCTTCTCTGCGCGTGCCTCGAGCTCTGCTCGCGCTCTCGTTCCCTTCATAATCCAGCGAGTGGCTAAATGAGGTATGCAAACGAATATTATTTTAGCAAACGAACCACATGCTATTAATCAAATGCGGCTGTATTCGCCAACACTGGCTGACACACTCTCCGCGCAACTGAAGCCAAGTGGCCAGAACAGGTAAACGGCATTTCGACCATCTGTATACCACTAATATCCTAATGATCTTCATGTGTATGGGTCCCGTGAAACCTACCAAAGAAAGCGTTAAAACTACAGAAATGTAAGCCTGAGCAAATGCACAAACCACAAAGAATGGTTACCTCTAGTGCGACCGCCATGGCAATTGTAGCACCATCTCGTGTGAGATCTGGTTCCTTTCCCCACACATGGGTGATCGCTCGTTTGGCTGCGGTAAAATTGGGGCAAGTGTGATCTGCGAGGAAGGGTTGGCCGTCGCGGAACACTTTAATTTCTAGGCGATTGCCAGACCGGCGTTTTTTGTGGACAGATTCCAGATGTTTTCTGACGAGGTCCGCAATCTTCCTAGGGTTCTGATCCGGAACAATCCTCACAGAAAATTTGCCCATTACCTAAGAGGAAAGGGAAATTAAATTTCTTGAAGGGAGTAAAAGTTATAAAAATCACTATAACAGATGCTTACACTGTTGTTTGCTCGTCGGAGTGGGGAAGGACTATAAGTGTATGGCCTAACTGTGAAAAACTCATGTGTTCTCGACTTTTTTAAAATTCCTAACCCCAAAAGAAGGTTGACACTGCTGCTAGCGCAAACTTATGTAGAAACGCAATGGACGAGAAATTAATATTATTTGAAATAATAGCACTACGCAGACACCTGGGCGTTAGGATTTACTTGGCGATACCCCAATGTTAAAATTAGTAGTAAACACCTTATTTGCTTGCCGGCTGGGCCTTTTAAATGCGAACGAAGGAATAAGGGGGATGGGTAGGTCTTAACTTTCTAATTGGGTCCCAGTTTAAAGTAAGATGAGATCCTTGGATGGGATAATCCCTTTAAATCACTTTCTCACCTGCTCCTGTGGGACTGAATATATTGGTCTCATGAATCGGCGTCTGTACAAAAGAATAAGAGAAAATCTTCCAAAATAATCCCTGAAGGGTCAAGTAAAGAACATTAATAGCTGTATCCGTGCGCATGGTAGACAGATACCACCTTGAGGATGCCAGAGAGGTTCCCGAGTGGTTTACAAGTTTTACCATATTATCCAAAACTACTTGGGCGGCGTCTGTTGGCCACGGCAGAGGCGGCTACAATCAGGTAACGCAAACCGGTCCTGTGCGCACAGAAGAACCCCATACAGGTCCTACAGTGGTCATGGTCCAAGCCAACCACCAGTATATGATTACCTTTCCTGTTGTGCATCATACCCATGACGCTGACTCGGATTTCGGCGCTTCACTCCTCTCCCGCCCCCAAACCCGAGCTACAGCACAATTACCTACTTGCCTGCATCCTCCTATCCATTATTACAATAGCAACATAGATGTACAGGCCTGAAAAGAACTTATCGAGAGCAGATGTACGCTTGCCAAATCGTCTTTTGAATTTTTCGATGGGAATTTTCGCAACTCTAAAATAGTCGCAAGAATAATTATTACATTTCACACAGCTGTGAAAAGGGAAAACGCGGCGTGGTTCAGGTCACATTTCACATAAGGAATTGCCGAGTTGAATATCTCGTCAGTGTCTGATTTCATCGCTTTTGGCTGATATTATATTATCTCCTGCCTGCCGTCGTCAGCTGAGCAACTGTTAAGCGCGATAGTTTGACCGTCTCAAGCGACAAGGCTCACGCAACCGGCACTTGTGCGGGCATGGGTAGTGCTTAACTCACTCCCCTTTCCCTACACACACCATGTGACGATTGCGTGAAAAGATCCAGACCACCAGAGGTGGACGTGGGTGCAGGGGCTAGTAAAGCTGAACAACTCACGCATTCCTGCCACACGCCAATTGGCCTCTAGCTCCCCACACATGTCAGGTCCCACTGGCATTAAGAGGGAGACATTGCAGCCAGGCGCTAAATCCAGAATGGGACTGAGTTCTCCCGTCAGCTGGCATTCTTGCGAAAAAGTTATAGTTACATGTCGGTCTCTGTATCCCATATGCACCCGTGACCTGGCCGAACCCGTTGATCGACTGGTGATAAAGACTGAGCGCGGTGGCCGACGTGGTGTCAACCTCTGACTGGCTCGTGTCACACGGGCAGCCCGACGAACGCACTCCACAGGTCAGCATGCTCAAGCCGTCAAACCAGCGCAACGTCCATGTTACTCGCTTGGGGGAGTATAGGTGACTGTAACGACTCTGAAAGCCAAAGTAGCTAGCTGCGGCCACGGGTTCGATGGTAAACCACGTCTCCCCTTGTGGACCGAGGTTACTACAGGCTGGTACCTAAGGTGGCTGTGTATGACGACCTGGTTAATGGATAGAGATTTTCGGCTTTTTAATTCCCTCAGAAACTAATCGTAAGCATGGAGTAAATAAGTCTATTTGAGACTTATAAGCTCAGACTGAATTTTGATATGAATATTTGGGCCGAAGTCCATCAGCTACCGCTGGATAACCGCGCAATATTCACAAACTACCAACAGGCAGCCAGTAGTATATACTGAGATAGCACGATGAACCATGCTTGACAGCACAGGTACCAGCCAAAAGCCCAGGCACATGTTTCGTCGATATTCTGCCGCTGTATGACACAGCTGCGAGGGGTCCGACTGATCAGTGGGCCCCCCCAGCGTCCCCTGTGTGCTTTATGGCAGATACTCCTGTCCCGAAATTGCAGCCTCTTAATTTCTTCAGAAATTATCGCTAACTTGGAGAGAAATTTTCTGAACGCACGCTCGCACATGCGAAAACATTAGGACTTGGTACGGTCACGGACTCACGTGTTGGAGACTTATGGGCATACTGTAGATTAGAGGCCCTGGCTAGGGGTTTGAGTGCTCATTCAGAATTGCAGGTCAGTACAGTCTTTACACCAGTTCTCGTCGTATTTTCTCCCTCACCTACCTGGACCTCTCTTCCCTTTTCACCACCGCCGTGGAGTTATAACCCTCAATTATCCTCTCTGCTGTGGCACACTGGAGCAAGAAGAGCGGAATGGAGGATAATACACTGGAGGCAGCAAGTGGACAGTTCTTACCGAAGAAAAAAATAATAAAAGGAGGTAATCAAATGGAAGGGCATACTTTTTTAGGAATGAGCGTTGGAGCTCCAATTTGGTCAAATGAGTCCTCAATGCCGTGAACTGTTATGCATGGGAGACACCATTTTCGCTGAAGTATTTCCACTTTGGAAGCCTCGTATAGTGCACTCGTTGTAATCTGTCCACCGTATGTGGGTATGGTGAAATCCAGCTTCGCAAATCGCCTAAAACACACGCCTTCTCTCAGTCATAGCATGAAGTAGGCAATGAGCATCTCTCAGAGATCCTTAGCCTGACAGGAATACAAGCGCCATCTGAGATATTCTCCCACTAAGAAAATTATGTGATTTTCCGTAAAATATAACTAGCTACCAAAAGCCAGCCAATAGCATGGACATCAGCAAAATTCGCTCGTTAGAACTGTCACTTGAAGTTCTGAGCGCAAATTTGAGAGGGAAGTTCATGAACTGATAACTGACGATATTGAGGTTTGACACCACAGTCAGCAGGCAGTTGAAGAGGGTGCATGAAAAGTTGCTATTAAAAGAGGGGCATAGCAGGGGTGATTAACGAAAAAGTTAGGAAAAACACAAATAAAATGACTTCCACTTAGAAGTACCCTTAAGAACCCCTAGACAAGGTTGGGGTAAAAGATAGGGTTAGACTCAAAGGCTAGGTTTAGCACTAGGCTTTGGGGTAAGCGGTAAGATAAGGTTAGAGGAAAAGGGATTAATGTAAGTATAATGGATAGGTTGAGTTCTCAGCACACTCTTAGTTGCAACTTAAACCTCAATCCTAAATGTAACTTGTCCGTGCCCTATATTGCTCCCCTAAACGGGGCCACTGAACAAACAATTATGCCAAGTAGTTTTTGAGAATGCTTATAAAATAAAATTTTCCAGACGGCTCGAAAAATTTCTTGTATGAACTGGTGACAGCCTCCAAGGCAAAGTCATCTGCGTGTTGTGCACAAGCGGTCACGCAGAGGGTTAAGCGACAGCTGACAAATCTCAATAGTCCTTGCTGCCTGAGCAGGGGGATGCGCATTCGCGGATGTATTCAAAGGAGGGAGATGATAAAGAACGCGGGTAAATTGATACAGAAGCGTTTTTGGATTATTCTGCCTCCATCCAAACAACGATAACCCTGTTCATCATCTGTAAGTGGAATCCCAAACATGCGCTCGCACACGACGCAGACGTTTCACGGACGAAATCTAGCAAATGGGTCATAGGAACCCCAGAAAACAGAAATTTACCAGCTCCTCGCAACCTGTCGCTCTCCGGTAATTGGTTGTCTGTTCGTGAACTCCACCATCCATACAGGGCTTATTTGCTTCGGGAAAATAATGGATCGGTATAAGCCCATTCCCGATCTGCAGAGACAGAGGATGAAAGGTGGCGAGGCGCCGATGAACCTCGGTCAGATGAAGTACTTGTGATCCATCTGTCAGACCCCATCCGTGAACCATATGCATCTTGTGCAAGCGCATGTTTGTGCTTCTGGTCACAGGTGATGCTCACGGTTATCATTGTCTGAATGAAGGCAGAATAAGTCCAAAACATACCTGTATCAATCTACGCGCATTGCTTGTCGTCTTCCCCCTCTGCTATCAAAACTTTGCCGGATTCGGGCTGGTATTCGGTCGCCTGTTCATGACCTTTGCCACCCATAGGGAGCTTGTTTACTTCGGGAAACCAATAGATCGGTATGCGCAAATTCCCGACATTTGAGTATTTTGAGCGCTGTCCTCAGGCGACATGAGCGCAAAACCACAATCATGAATCCACACCATCGCATGTTAAAGCAGGTAGTCCCTTTAAACAGTAAGCAATGCATCATCTAACAATATCTTAGTAGGAAACGACAGGAGGCATTTCTCTGCATCAAAACAAATAACACTCATCCCATAACACGCTTTATTAATCCTTCAGGTTTATGGCTATATTCGCATGACATTCAACACAGAAGCAACATGATTACATGATTTCTCATTTGTCAGAAGCACCCGCGGATCCAGGCTGACTGCTGGACGCATCTGTGGTCTTCTCTTTCTCTTTGAAACGCTGATGTAGATCTGGGACAGGAGGTCAGAAGGAAAGGGCTTTATTCCTTTCTGGAGCCATGCCAAAACTGGCAGACAGCACTCTCAAGTTAGCCTCCGAACTAATTGGTAGGACGCACGGCACAGTGGAAATAATTCTTTTTTGCTGTCAGCGAGACAATAACCATTTTAGAGTGCATTTTTTCGAGAGTGTAGACGTTGCACCGGTGGCAAAGTCGCGAGTTCAAGTGCAACAGAGTTCTTGGCTTTATGTCTTGAATATAATCAAGCTCTTAGGTGGTATTACTAATGTGCCAGATAACAAAGGGGCTAGTGATCATAGTGATGACGCTGAAGTCGACGAGGTCCCTATTCGAGGCTCTGCGTAGAGGACGAAAACTGTCACCTTATGCCTCGAGTTTTTCCTGTAGGGTCTCATGCAACAGTCCTAAACAAAATCTCCAAGGTTCAGTTTGAGAGGTAGGTCAAGTAAACGTTGCTCTTCAGCGTCTCTTTGTGCAGGAGGGAGTTTGGAACCCTGAGAACGAAGGCATATACGCGTGTAACCGCAACCGCCAGATCATTTAACGGAGCGGTCACTGACTATTTTAAAAACATATCCGTGCGAGATTCAGGGTGGCTATATAATCTAGTCAAATGGATGACAAAATGAAAGGACTCCCATACCACTAGCTCCTATTTAGAGCAGGCTCTTGATGCGGTAAATCTAATGAATTGCCCAAGACGGTCGAAAGATTGTCGACGGGGGAATCAAGAACCGGAAAGCAGATGTCGACACTTGCGAAGCCGTTGCCAGTTCTCCTTGGCATCTGGGGATCCTAATGCTAAGAGCCTAGTATGCATTCGCTGGCGTATATGGAGGAACAAATCAGGACAGTAACGAGTGGAGGCTGTTAATGTCTGCAAAAACTTTTCCAATGAGGACACGGGGTATATAAACGCCAGCTATCCGGGGCACATGTCCGACATTTGCGGGCTGTTCGGCGGCGCTTTTTCCCGCTTTCCAGGCACTGTGGGGCGCTACAACGAAGTGAATCAGGGAGTCAAGGCCTGCGGGCAGACAGCACAAGAAGCAAAACCGATTCTGGCGACCCCACAGTGACTAACAAATGTGTGAAGACAGATCTCAATTCCACTGTGAATCCGAGAAATCCCGACAGCTTCGCAGTGGAAAACGTAGTGGAAGACGCAGGTTCTATCTCTCCAACCACCGCCTCGACAACTGTGCGGTTATGGGACAGGAAAGTGATAGGAGTCAAAACGAATATCCTGCGCATCGCCAAAACAGGCACCCACTATGACAGGGATATCGACGACATGAACATCGCCGTCTTCACCCTTGCTGTGTAATGTTGTGCAAGATCTGCGTCAAAGGGTAAACGCATATCAGAACTTTAGACATCAAGCAAATAACTTTTGCTCCACTAGACTGTGTCTGTGCTTTTCCTTGCCCATCGATGCGCGTGTTCGATTTGACAAGCAACAGGAATGGAGGCGGACCCGATTTCTTAAGGCCTGGTAACTGACCTTCTAATTAGTGAACGATAAAGGAGGCATCATTTCAGGTTAATCAGAAACACAAGCTTAGTGTAAAGAGGAAGATTTGTAAAATACCAGAACCATCAATTTAGTCGGCTAAGCTTGCAGTCACGTAGAAGACTCAGTAGTCAGTGATAGAACAATGGAAAAAAGAGGCACAACCTTTATGGGCCAATATAGCCAATCAACCGCTAAAATTGCAAGTCTGTGCTATTTACACGGGGCAGGCAGGTACACAAATTTGCTAGCGAATCTCCAGACTCCACTTAGCCAAGGACTCGTCTCACACTGCTCGGGTGATCGCTTTGGACTGAAACCTTGAAAAAATTGTTCGGGTTTCCCAGAAGACACTTTTGGCGGAACCACATGTGCACAATCTGAGCACCGATAGGCTTCCAAATGTTTGATTCGTTAGTAGAACTGCCTCAGTGGGGATCACAATTGGTTAATTTCAATGAACTCAACTATTTTTGCTCGCCGAAGTTGCACCGGCAGTCAAAAGAGCACGAAACCTTTGCATGACGTTGCCATTAAAGCAAGCCTCAGCACCTCCATTCACTGAAAATCTTACTGATACGCAAATCATGAGGCAAAGAGCGAAAGAGAAATAGGGCAATATCTGTCGTTCCTCGACGAACCCGTCTGATGAAACCAATGATATTTTCGAGATAAGGGCATGTAGGAGGTCTAGAGCATCTGCAACTTCTTCGGTCCGCAGGCAGCCATCAGATGCCAGAAGCAAAATTTAGCGCAGACACTTCAATCAAATCTAAATATACTGCAGCACCCCAGAGTACATACATACGAGGCCCCTCATCCCGGCAATTACTTTACGCAGACTGACCATCTGAGTCTATGCAGAACTCGACAACTGTGTCATTCGCAGAGTTTCCAACTTGAATAGGGTACGAAGATATGACACGCTCTGTCAGGGTGTGGGGGTCAGGATTGCAAACCGCCCTGCAGCCACCATGCGAAAACCTGCCACGAAAATCAGAGATCAGTTAAGTCAGGGTAAACGGGCCGGTGCCGGCTATGTGTACGGTGGGTAAGTTATGGTCATTAGTATACAGGCCACAGTAGAGCGAACCTGGCGTCGTGCGTAAGTGACCAAAAGTAGCGAGACGATGTGGTAAACGCTCCTCAACTTGCCGCACGTACACTTGAGAAAGGCCATTCATTTGACTTCCCTACTGGCAGGACGGTTGCCCGAGCATAACTGGAGACAAGTCGTGAGCTGAGCGAAGCCTGCCGCCCTGATGATAGGTGTTTCTATCCGAATCATGTCAGCACAGCCCATGTATGCAGCACAGACTCGTACAACTGACAGTTGGTTGGCTCCATCGTTTCATTAGTGTTGCGACTTCTGCTTTAATTTTTTTCTATATCTGTCTGTCCACTGTTGTACGTGATCGAAACTACCGACGACTAAACTGACGGTGCTGCTGCCTGACTCTGATTGCGTGCAGCCCTATTAACCACAGTTAAATAACGAACATGTGCTATTTTCAGGCCAAATAATCTACCGCATATAGAGTCTAAATAATTCGTTTAATAATGTCGGCAGTAGTAACACCGAGTCAATTTCTTAGCAATTTTCCAGCAGTTCCGATTCTTGCGAGCTGTCAAAATGGGTAATTTACTGGGATTGACAGTATAGCCTAGTTTTCGGACTTTGGCTGATATGAAAAGGAAGGAGGTTCTTCGGAAAAAATCGATAAGCTTCGGAAAAAATCGGAAAGCTTGGCTGATATGTCCACAAATGCTATGGCCTTGACGCGTGAAGGAGGCAATAAGCTGCTCCTGTTTTATGAACTGTTGCGGAGGCACCAGAGGAAGTTGTCATAGATATCAGTCCTCGATAGGATCAAATCGTACAAGCTGCATCGATGCAGTTCTCAAACTATACTACCGAGTGATATACTACTAGAAAACGTGTTTCGAACAGGTTGAGAATGGGGTTCAAGAATTTAATGTACATATAATAAACCACACCTTTTTTGTTTCGTACTACCGACACTATCGTGGCATAATAATTAAGATTGCGTTCGGAATGATAAGAAATACTAAAATACAACTGCAGACACAGGCCAAGTGGACTATGGTTAATAGCGTAGAACTTCGCCTGAAACAAGCAGTTACAGAAGCTTAAAATCCTAATAACTGGTTTTTTTTATGAATACAGGACATATCAATCCAGCGATTGTTTCTTTTAGTGCGGAAGGTCCTATTTCTAACTCCGTGCGATTTGATGCGCAGTCACAGGGCAGTACATAAAACGGTGAAACTTGAAAGCATAAGTCAGCCAGTGATATCTATAACTGTGTTATTTCGAGTAGGAGCGATGAATTGTAAGAGATGCCCATATGCAATCCTTTGGAATATAGAGGACAATGGTTGCCACTAATTTCGATTAGATGGCTTGACAGGCAGCCTGCAGGCTTCCACGCACATAACCCTCTTTCCACATCATTCTCGTATTTGAGTTAAAGTGAGGCCAGCGTGCGTTTCATCCCTTGTTTTGATCCCATCATTCCTGGTTTGGCCGTCTGGCGTTGTGGTACGCAGCACCTCCCTTCTTCCTACTTATACTTCAGTGCGCTTGACAGTTTTTGTTTTAATGAGTAGCTGGATCGTATATCACACAATTAGTCTTAATCCCAATTATAACAGGGGCTTTCGGCAGGTCAAAGTGAAAACTTAGACGACAGAGAACGCTCTCAACCAAGAGTCAAGTGATGGTGGATTTAGACGATGTTTACTAGTTGCAGTAAGCAGCCAAACAATATTGCACGCTGTTACATCTAACTGCTCACTCTGCCCCCTAGAAGTCACCGGTGTGAATCAGATTATGCATAGTCGTATGATGTAAGTCGATGCGCGAACTATAAGGTCGGGTTGCTACATCCAAAGCAAAGAAAGTCATTAGGATGGAAACGCATGCTGCCTCCGCAAGTTCCTCTAATAAGTCGACGCGGAAATGAGAATTGCCGAATGGGGTTAGCAGTAATAGGGAAACGATCTTATCAAATTATGTCAACCTACCTAAACACAATAAGTAGCAACCACGTGGCAAAATATTTCAGGGCATACAAAGTAATGCAAGTTTGGAATAAAAGTCGCAAAGTTCTGCAAACAAATGGTCCTTTGTGGTCGGTTCCAAAACAAACTGCTCGGCAGCCGTCCCGTCGCATTAACTAACCGACTATTTCAGATGTCATTTTACTTCTGGGAGTCAAAGGAATCGGAAGGTTGCTTTTTTGGAAGAAAAGAAGTCTGATGGTCTAGTTACCTAACGTTCGTAAAAAAAGTAAACCGCACTGCAGTGCTTTTTAGTGGGACAGCAATGAAACTTGGTCTAAATGACACTGCTGTAGTGTTGATTTGAGGTCGTTTGTGATTTTTCAACATCTTGACACGATATTACTCCGAGCCCTTTGTCGAGGATAGGGGGCTCCCTGGGGTGGCGTGACTAAGTCTAAAACAACTACCCGTTTTATTCGTCTAAACCATAATACGTCGGTTGGATGAAAAACCTGACCAATAACAAAGGTACAAGTACGTAAATATTGAGTAAATCCTCAAATGTGGCTAAAAATGGAGCAAGCTACCTTTTTGCAATAAGTTGTCCTACAAAAATATAGAGAACCAGAGGTATTTCGTTTCGCAGATTTCGGTTTTCTCTACTGCAACACTTATAATCCAGGAAGTAGAAAACATAATCCGCCTGAGTCGATCTGTATGTTTAAGTAAACCGAGCGAATTTTCAAGTGAAAGCTAGATTGACCGGCCCAGTAATATGTGCGGAAAAGTAGACATTTTGATTAACAACCCAATGTATAACATGAAAAGAGGAAAGCCAATCAAAGACCAGTAAATTTTATGGCCTTATTCAACTGTTTATGACTTCTGGATACTTACTGTAGACTAAGTATGAGATGCAAAAACGACCTAGCACAGAGTTAACACAGTATTGCATTACGATTGCGACATAAAACCACATATTACAGGGGATGGTCAGACGAGATCTTCGCCGTAAAGATTGCCCAATAAATTGTGAGTTCTAGGCTAATTGTAAAAGAGCAACACACGAAGACCGTGCTCATCATCGGGCCTTCACGAAACAACAAACTAGCCTTCTCGGATGCTCTCGCGCATAGGCGAAAAGATGGATCTGTTCAGACGTCAGCTTCCGGATGACTTGTTGGATAGAACAATATGCGCACCTCATGAGCCTTGTCCAAATGTAAAAAGCGGAACCAGGCTCGATGTAGGGGCGGTAAAGAACGGGATAAAAAATCCTCCAAAGATGGCTACAGATTGGTGGGCATTTATAAAAGTATATAAAAATGGCGCCGTTGCAGTGAATTAAATACAAGGGGAGCAGAGATTCAGCACAAGTCTGCCTCACTATGACCAAATTCGCGCGCACGTAATCACTGCGTCCTCTCCAGGATAAGGACGATCCTCGTCAACTACGACAAACGCTGTACCATGCCTGCCCGTTATATGCTTTTTCGTATGCCATATCAGTCCTGTAAACAGGTAATCACTAATAGTGTCCCCTTTCATTACTTGGGACGTCGTTAAGACTGAGATTAACCTGAGTTCCTCCTCATCGGGTTTACGAACAGTATCGTAAAGGTTGGGCACCAGAACTTTTCCGTCCTTGTCGACAAGTGAAGCCAAGAGTGCGTCTAGATCTTCCAAGGGTTCCTGAACCGCCCCACCATGTGCACCTGAGTGAAGGTGTCTTTTAGGACCTTCCACGTAGACGTAGAAGTAGATGACACCTCGGAGGCCGTAGGTGAGGCAAGGTGTATTCATTCCGAGCCAGTAGTTGTCAGAAATAGCAACGTAGTCAATACGCTGAGGAAAGAAGAAAAATATGATTTAGGGATTTGGACAAGTTTTACACATACGAGGACTGCAATACGTTAGAGACCAATAGTGTTACCTTTAGAAAATCTTTTTTCATTTCATTGAGAAGCACGCGAATGCCTTCCGAACCCGTTTCTTCACTGCCGTCAAGGAGGACTCTGATATTAACGGGTATCTCAATTTTGGCTTTCTGCGAGGATGAATACACATTCACTTAAATACTAAAAAAATAAATTTGCCAAATGGCAGCCAACGCTAAAGTACGCATGCGGAAATCCACTTACTTTAAAACCTTATGCAGATTTATTGACTGATTTATTATCGTCACTCCCTATTGCTGTGAACAGCTTTCGTCATCCGATAACATTTAAATAAAACAGCTCGTTCGAGCGATTGAATGAAAAGTTGCTATTGGACCTGAACTACCGTGCCTCTCGTTCTTTTTGGTACTCCGACTCGACGCTTACAATGAACATGGTTTTTGGTCAACTAGCTTAGTGTAAGTCTTCTAAACTGACCCAATCAGAGAGTCATGCATTTTTTAATCGATAACGCACCAACATATTGTTTTGTCAACTTTCAAAACAAGCTACTAAATACTGAAGGTAGTACCTGTCACTGATTTCAAATCATCTACTGACCAAACGGTGGACGCATTGGCTGCTATTTATAAGGTTTCCAGCTTACTACGTATGCTTCAATAGCATTCAACCATCCGACGACGGGGCCTTTGTCATCGGTAACTCCTCTGCCCCACATATAGTCGCCAACCACTTGCAGGTCAAATGGATCATGAGTCCAATTTTCATCCTTGGCTATCGGCTTCACATCGACATGCCCATAGATGAGGACAGTGCGCTTTGTCAGATCATTGCCGTACTCAGCGCATACCACGTACGGCAGCTCCGCCTGTTCGTCAGAATGTAAGGGAAGTTTGTCGCCGACGTAGACATTTTCCGGACCCACTATGCGGTAGCGAATGCTGAAGCCTAGTCTACAGAAAGCAAAGGAGAGATCGCAAACGATGACTTACTTCTGGAATTTCAGAGCGCACCACCGAAGCGCTTTCAGGACGTCATAGCGGTGATCTAGTTCTGATGATATGCTTTGGATGGCGACAAGCTGCTTTAGGCGTTTGATATACTTGTCCTGGCGTGCCTCTATAAATTTCTGTAAAATAAGGAGGCTTTTGTCCATCTATGCTGCCTACAAAGCAGTAACACACTGTTAACGATCAGGATCCGATTTTTAAAATCTGAAAATATAATGGAACTATAAAAACACATTATTTGCGAAGAAAATATGGAGACAGTTCTTGAATAGTAATCTTAATGAGTATTCGAGTTCCAGGCAGTATCTGGACAATAAGGAGCTGAAAAAAATTACTGGAATAGCTTTATTTCGAGTTTGCATTTTCAAACGTCATGTGCGACCGCACAACCACAGAAACTGACGAGTCTGCCCTGTGACTGGTGTTGTAAGGGTTTACGGGGGTAGCTGCCGCCTAGATCTTGCCAGCCTGTGTAATTTGACACGTGTGTCTAGCTGAGGCGTGCCGAGACGACTGCCGGGTGAGCAGGCGTCGCTTCGATCGAGTCCATCAATTTAGTTTTTGGTAATGGCCTAACGTATCCTGATGATGTTGTCAGTCCCGATACGGATCTTCTCCCCTTAGATGAAGCCTTAAATGAGTCATTGCCATGAGCTAAGAACCCCTGTCACCGTCTTACCTATAAGTGACTCTATCAGGGTCGCACAGATCTTCAGAATGCTTGCGAAAGCTGCGTTGCGGAGGTTAGGTTAATTTCACTGACCTCGCTCTCGCAGATCACCAGGCAGGCATAGGAGCTTCGTGAATATCACTGAGGACCACTAGATCAGGCACGTAGGCAGTTGCATCAAGAATGCGTAGTCTTACAAGTCCGAATATATTCCCTATGTCAGTTTAAGTCGGCTGACATAGGGAAAAATAGTCTGGTCAGTTAAATGCACTGTCTAAATATGACAGAGTGCAGGGCATATCACGGCTCATATAAAGGAAATAGGTAACTAAGTGGAAATTAAAACCATCACAGGATGAATGGAGAAGGCATGCACTCGAAGAGCAAACAAATTCCCTCAGCATACAATTGGTAGGTCTGGTGAGAAATTACCAATTGGCAAGCAAAACGGAAAAGTCAGTCAATCATATCAAGCCCCAGGTCGCTCAGACTTGAGCTTTGGACGCAAGTTTAAATGCCCACCAAGCCAGATACTCCTCTTGCTATCTGCAATTGGGAATTTTTAAAGCCACATGATAATAACATTAGTCCATCTACCCTGATTAAAGGACGGAATACGGGTGTTTCGTTTTTCCTTGGGGCTTAGATATAGACGTTTCACCAGTACAATCAAACTTTGTCATGCAGAAGCATCGAGTGCAGTTGGATAACCGACTAGCACGCCGACGAACCCCAAGCCCGTTCCGCATTGGTGTTTAATTTTCCCGTCTAAATATATGTTAATGGGTGTGACTTTCAGGCAAGACATCGCTGTGTCATCGACCCAAGTGCAAATGGAGCCGCTATATAAGGGACCAACGCAAAGTATTATAAGATCCAATGACGGAACGGCGGGCGGATGAATTGAGTTCGCTCGGGTTGCGACGCTTCAGGGAGAAAACATCCGTCGGTTCCTCCAGATGACATGTTTGTTTCATCATGTCTAGAACCGCATTCTGCGAAATACGTTTTCTTAAGGGTCCAGACCAACCACGCGCGACCTAATGAGCAGTTAGGGCCAATAACGCGCTATTCTATCGTGTTTTTCGACCGAATTTATGTTCCTATGGGAGCTAGGCATCGCGTTGAGTTAACCTGAGCTGAGAGAGACGACCCAGAGGATGGTGAATTCCAGTTCAGATTTAGAGAAGATTAAGTCTGACTGTGACCAGTAAATTTTGACTATTTAGATTGAGTGGAGTTTGATGATGTGCATATTCTAATCTTGGGAGAACAATTATACCAGCGAGTACGGCTGCGTATCGCTGAATCTGGACTGCCAAAAGTACTCATTTAGGCAGGTTTCATTTGCCTCCTACTGAATAGAGGACGAAGACCTGAAATTCGTATCTGTATACTAGCTACATGCCTGGTTACATAAGCACAGTAATTCGCCTCAATAGGGATGGACCATCTCTTAATCTATCATTTTGAATGAAACAACAAAACTTCTTGATACTGGAGAGATTCTTTGCCTTTGACCGAAGTTGGAGTAGCAAAGAATCTTGACTTATAGCAAGATTGGACAAAATACTTCGTTCAACTTATAGTCATTAGTAAGTCACAACCAAAACTACGGTAACTACGGCAAGGCTAAAATAGCATTTTGAACAACTAATGCAATATCTTGGCGGGCCGATTAGTTATCAGCGCAATCGGCTCATTCCAAAAGATTTCGTTGTGGCGGTCTAACCCAAAATGATATCAGGACAAAAGAAGGCGAGGTCACACTTACCGTCACAGTCTGTCCGCAGCGCGCTCGCAGGGTCCCATAAATCGGACTAATCGATACAGGGGTTCAAAACGTGAGACGCCTGGCAGGCGTGGGGACCGTCAACACTACCTCCACAGGAAATCTCCAAAGCCTGAAGACACTCCTACTCCCCCGTTTCCTCTCGACTTAATGCCTGTCGGTGGGAAAAAAGTGGGAACCGGAGCCCAGCATTTAGTAAGAAAAGCAAAATGCTTCACAGTGACATGCTTTTTGTTTTTATGAAAGGCCTAGGGCTCCTTAAAGCCAGAATAATTTGTCCTTGTGCGTTTCATAGCAGGGTTTTGCTAATAAAGGTGAAAGGGAAAACGACAATTCGACCGTCGGTTTCGACGATTTCTACCGTGTGTCCTATAGTAGAGTTAAAGCTGGGAGGATGACTAGCGCGTGAATTAGTTTATCGTGGTAGAAGACTTGCTCGGCATCTACCGCACCCTCTCGTCCTCCCCCACCTGGGGCCGGTGTCATAACCAAGTCATAAAGACCGGAGATGGGAGAGGCCGCAGGTGGCTGGCGTGGAAAAAAAATCCGCATCTGGTCCTACCATCACACCTCCTGGTCCACAGCAAACACTTGACGGGGATTTTTAACAGCAACAAAACGGGGGTGACAGGGTTCCCACTTGGCGCAGCGTGAGCCTGCAAGTGGGCTCGACATCGCATGTCGAATGTTGACATTTGTTAGGGGTGCGCATTCTCGATAACGCCTGCCAGACTCCGAGCCAGCCTCTGTGTTGGTCCAGTGCATCTACCGCATGGACGGATTTAGAAGCAAAGAAAGGGAGTACAGGCGCTTATGGACTATACCATTTCATCTTCGTATTTCTCCGAGGCGGCGGAGTGTAGCTCACTCCATGGGCTGCATTTGAGGGGCAAGTTTTAAATGCGTTTTCGCCTTTTTGCGGTCTATTTGAAATAACGCGCAGTGCAGTGGATTGGTAGGGCGCACTACATAGTATTTGGTCATGAACTTTCGGGTATAATGCCCCTCCTGATATTTCTAATAGGCAAATAGGGCTAATGATCATTGATTTAAACTGAAGAAAAGGAACTTATGAGACGATCATAAAGTATTTCTCCACAGTTGTATTATAAGAAGAGAAAAATTGTCCATTGGGTTAGCTCTGCCAGCCGGTGAACGCCGCGTCTTCAAAAAGCCTCTTTTCACATCGAACAAAATTAACAATGAGCAAATAGAATGGCACGGGTACTTTAGATTTTATTTACAGTTCATCTTCTATGCAAGCCCGTTTAGGTTGCGCGTACATAAAGAAATTTAATTAATAATCTCATCTCTACTTTTGCAAGCCTGTTTGTGTTAATAGCTGAGCGAATTTTTTTGGACGCACCTGCGTGATTAAAGCTACGGAGAAGAATGTTCCCTTCCGCCTCTGATCTTCCTTGATGAACCGATTTACTTGCACTAGTTAGGCTATTTGCGCTTGATAAATTGAAGCATTGTCTTTTTCCTTCAAATCTGACCCAGAAATAACCGAAATGTAGTCCAGACGGCAGAGCAGGTTCGATGTAGTCTGGCTAAGCAAGAATCAAAAATATCATGACAAATGCGCAGTACTTGTTATTCTGCAAAGAAGATAAACTCACCTTTGCATACGTTTGGTCTATGGTTTTGCCTATCAAACACCCTTTGATGGTTGCGCTGATGTATGGTTAGATCGATTATTTTCTATTTTCTATCTAAACGTCTATTGAAGCGGATGTTTAAGTTCTCGATGCTGCACGGCTTCCGGATAATTTGGCGGAGTCGGACGAAGGTCGTTTGCACCCTGTTTTGTACACGTAGTAGAGGGTTTTAGCTAAGGCAACAGCATCTTCCAAGCCTTGCCGTCAACCGATTGTTAACATCCATCTCCGACTGAAAAACCGCCGGGGTTGCTCATCCTCATTTTGAAAGATGTTTTCTAACCAACTTCGCATGAACCTGGAACAGAGCGTGTTGCATTTTTTTCAGAAACTCGCAGGCAATCAGGGTACCATGTATCTGCAATTCGTGGACCAAGAGGCACCGCAACACTCGGGTGGTCTATCGTGCGCTTTGAGAAACGCAGTCTTTTGGGTAATTAAACAAGGTTGGTCAAAAATCTCAGACATGGCGGATGCTGGAGATGATATCAAAGTCCTTTTTCTTGCTGTCCAAAAGCACATTGGTCCTTATTTTGTGATGGTAGACTTAAATCAAATAAACTTTGTGGTGCGCCATCACATGGCACGATCCAAAATAGCGAAACGAGATGAAGGGAGTCAATAACAAAGGCACTGTGCATGCGGAAGTGAACGAAAGGACAACTTATATTTCCTTCTAGGTCGTGCCTAATGTAGTCCGACTAGCGGGGGAACCGCGGCAAGAGTTTGGTCAAACTTGTATTTGGTACGGCTGCCATCATGCCTGATATAGCTGGCCTCGATGGTGCCACGGACCTTACTTCCCCATGGGTGACGATCGGCGTCAGCAGATTTAGACAGCTCAACCCATCCCCTTTGCCAGCGATGGAGACCAAATACAGAAGGTCCGAGAACACTTTCCATGTCGTTGCAGACTGCTTCAAGTCAGGTTTCGAGCTGATCCCCTCTTTGACGCCTCCAGGTGGGTAGCGGTGCGGGGTCGAGGGCAGCAGAACTGGGCTCGAGACGTTGACGACGAAGAAC